CCCCCCCCCCCCCCCCCCCCCCCCCCCCCCCCCCCCCCCCCCCCCCCCCCCCCCCCCCCCCCCCCCCCCCCCCCCCCCCCCCCCCCCCCCCCCCCCCCCCCCCCCCCCCCCCCCCCCCCCCCCCCCCCCCCCCCCCCCCCCCCCCCCCCCCCCCCCCCCCCCCCCCCCCCCCCCCCCCCCCCCCCCCCCCCCCCCCCCCCCCCCCCCCCCCCCCCCCCCCCCCCCCCCCCCCCCCCCCCCCCCCCCCCCCCCCCCCCCCCCCCCCCCCCCCCCCCCCCCCCCCCCCCCCCCCCCCCCCCCCCCCCCCCCCCCCCCCCCCCCCCCCCCCCCCCCCCCCCCCCCCCCCCCCCCCCCCCCCCCCCCCCCCTCCCCCCCCCCCCCCCCCCCCCCCCCCCCCCCACCCCCCCCCCCCCCCCCCCCCCCCCCCCCCCCCCCCCCCCCCCCCCCCCCCCCCCCCCCCCCCCCCCCCCCCCCCCCCCCCCCCCCCCCCCCCCCCCCCCCCCCCCCCCCCCCCCCCCCCCCCCCCCCCCCCCCCCCCCCCCCCCCCCCCCCCCCCCCCCCCCCCCCCCCCCCCCCCCCCCCCCCCCCCCCCCCCCCCCCCCCCCCCCCCCCCCCCCCCCCCCCCCCCCCCCCCCCCCCCCCCCCCCCCCCCCCCCCCCCCCCCCCCCCCCCCCCCCCCCCCCCCCCCCCCCCCCCCCCCCCCCCCCCCCCCCCCCCCCCCCCCCCCCCCCCCCCCCCCCCCCCCCCCCCCCCCCCCCCCCCCCCCCCCCCCCCCCCTTCCCCCTTCCCCCCCCCCCCCCCCCCCCCCCCCCCTCCCCCCCCCCCCCCCCCCCCCCCCCCCCCCCCCCCCCCCCCCCCCCCCCCCCCCCCCCCCCCCCCCCCCCCCCCCCCCCCCCCCCCCCCCCCCCCCCCCCCCCCCCCCCCCCCCCCCCCCCCCCCCCCCCCCCCCCCCCCCCCCCCCCCCCCCCCCCCCCCCCCCCCCCCCCCCCCCCTTCCCCCCCCCCCCCCCCCCCCCCCCCCCCCCCCCCCCCCCCCCCCCCCCCCCCCCCCCCCCCCCCCCCCCCCCCCCCCCCCCCCCCCCCCCCCCCCCCCCCCCCCCCCCCCCCCCCCCCCCCCCCCCCCCCCCCCCCCCCCCCCCCCCCCCCCCCCCCCCCCCCCCCCCCCCCCCCCCCCCTCCCCCCCCCCCCCCCCCCCCCCCCCCCCCCCCCCCCCCCCCCCCCCCCCCCCCCCCCCCCTCCCCCCTCCCCCCCCCCCCCCCCCCCCCCCCCCCCCCCCCCCCCCCCCCCCCCCCCCCCCCCCCCCCCCCCCCCCCCCCCCCCCCCCCCCCCCCAGGAGTTGGTGGAGGGAGGGAGCGGTAAAACTGCAGCTCAGCTGCGAGCTGAAACCCCCCCCCCCCAGAAAAGAAAATTATCTACAGTCCTGCTTAGGACTGTACTCCACTTTAATTCATAAATCATTGATCCAGATAGGAGTATGGAGATTCCGCATTAAACTTCAGAGACCAGGCTCTACATATTCAGTGCATTCCAGCATATCACCAAACAGTTCTGCAGGACTCAGAGCAAAAGCAAAGGCAGAAACAGTGCAAGCAGAACCTTTATACGTTCAAAAAGAAGCTGAGTTGATGAAGCAGAGTTTGAAGCCAACTCCTTGAGGCAGAAACCACTTCATTGAGAGAGAAAACTGAGTTAGAAGCCAACTCCTTGAGGCGGAAAGTAGAGCTTGAAGCTAGTATGCATGTGCTGCCAACTCAAAGGAAATCAGAAGCAGCATCAGCAGAAGTCATGGTATACGATGTGTGATTGGTTCAGAAGAAGATCCGCTCCAAGATCTTGAGGAAATAGCAACTCAAGATTCAGTGAAAAGGACTCAGGAATATGTGCAGAACCATGCTCCAGACCAAGTTACAACAGAGTATGCTTCAATCCTATCTCCAACACGTTCCTACAGTTTCCTGACTTGAGCTACAGACAGCCCTCTCCACGTATGCCTTTACTGTCTCCTGCTTTTCATTGTAATTCTGAAACTGTCCCAGCAACATTCAAGAAAGTAAAGATGATGTTAATCTTCAGCATTCAGCACGCAAAATGGGTTATCATGTATCCTCCTTCGGAAATGGCCCATTAGGGTCCTCAGAGACAACTGATCTAGCAAAGCACCTAGTTCGGCAAGAATTAGTGAGCACCGTGCTACAAACACTTTATCATCGCCCCGAGAACTAGTGGGCATGGAAAACATTTTTCCAAAGCATCATCAGAGATCTCAGTCTTATGGTTAGAGAGGAGCTAGATCTGCTAACAAAGTGGCTCGGACCAGAGTCATCTCGACAGGCTAAGAGAATCAGGTCTGTACACATCCATGATCCAACTGCTGGGGTTAAAATGGTATGGCAGAGTTCAGAGGACTGTTATGGCAGCCCTGACACTATTGTAGTTAAGAGAACTAACCTGTTACAAAAAAAATTAAGAGAACTTAGTGACATGTTGTTGGAGGTCAATGCAACCAAGACCTAAAGCCACTAACCAGGATTGGGCTGCATAGACACAGAACATGGGATTAAACCAATAATTGAAAAGCTCCCATACAGTGTGCAAAATAAGTGGATTTCTCAAGGCTCTAAGTAAAAGGAAGATCATCCTGTCTCCTTCCACTATTCAGTTTCATCACCAAGTTTATCGTCAAGCAAAGATTAGAAATGATCCAAGCTTCATACTGTCGATGTGCAGTAATCAGATATCAGCAAACACAGAGAAGATAGGAGCCAAAGCATGGCAGCAGACCATCAGTGGTAATCAGAAAGACAAAGGTGTCAGCCAACTCTGAATAGAAGTCTATGGACCCTGACAGTTCATGCTCAATTCATAAAAAAAACACACCACTGTCAAGGTGTTGTGGGTTCAGAAGCAAGCATATTTATGAACGTAAAGCTTGCCTGAAGGAAAATGCTATCTGCTTCAGATGTTGTGCATCCACTAAACACATTGCTAAAGACTGCAAGGTCAATATGAGATGCAGAGTGCAGTAGTGAGCAGCATACCTTGGAACTGCATCCACATCCAGCCCCTTGGGCAAAAGAGACTCTGGTAACCAGCAAAGAGCAAGGTGGAGAGAAGAATGAACCTACCCCATCAGCTGTTATGTCCAAGTATACAGAGGTACTGTGTGTGCAGAAGGGAAGAGGACCAGATCATGTTCCAAGAACTGTTTGGTGACTGTATACCACTCTAACAAACCTGACTGTTCTGTGAAAAAGTATGCAGTGTTAGATGATCCACGTAATCGCTCATTAGCCAATTCAGAGTTTTTTTTAACCACTTGCCTACTGGGCACTAATACCCTCTTCCTGACTAGGCGAATTTCCAGCTTTCAGAGCTGTCGCACTTTGAATGACAATTGCGTGGTCATGCAACATTGTACCCATATGAAATGTTTATAATTTTTTCACACAGATAGAGCTTTATTTTGGTGGTATTTACTCGCCACTGGGTGTTTTATTTTTTTGTGCTATAAACAAAAAAAGAGCAAAAAATTTGAAAAAAAAGTTTGTATTTGTTTCTATTATAAAATTTTGTAAACAGGTAATTTTTCTCCACTGATGTGCGTTGATGAGGCTGCACTGATCGGCAGCACTGATGGGCACTGATCGGCAGCACTGATGGGCACTGATAGGCGGAACTGATGGGCACTGATAGGCGGCACTGATGAGGTGGCATGGTTAGGCAGCACTGATGGGCACTGATAGGTGGCACTGATATGCGGCACTGATGAGCTGGCACTGATTATGGACACTGCTAGTCAGCACTGAGGGGCACTGATAGGTGGCACTACTGGGCACTGACTGACGGCACTGCTGGGCACTGATGGGTGGCACTGCTGAGCTGCACTGCTGGCCACAGGTGGGTGGCACTGTAAGCCGTGTACCAGGGTGGGCTCCCCAGGATACAGTGAAGTCACGAACGAGGAAAGCAACCCCAACACCAGCTTTTGTCACAACAGAATTTTACTTAGATGTGGCAAATAAACAAAACCACAAATGCTGGAATATACAATAAATTTACATACACTCAGCCCACAGGCTGAGACCCTTGTGCTGCACAGCACGGCGCCTTCTGATGGATGAAGGTAGAAAGTTTAGTAATTTACCTACTGGCGGGCACAACTAAGCTGCCACACCTTACCTGTTATTACCCTAAAAGAGCAGGAATCAGTGTATGGGTGTATGGTATGGGCTAGCCTGCGGTGCAGCACAACAGCTTACAATCTTACACAAATCTACAGTATTCTCCCGCCCATAACTGGTCCTGTAGCACGTGCCTGAGTATTCCTTCTGAGCAAAGCGCCAGTCTGGCTTGAGTTTGTAGGATTTTATCAGCTCTCCAATGTGAAATGTCACTTTAAGTTGTGGAGTCCTTCCAATAATCAGTAACAACACTTGTGGCCTGGCACAAACAGAGACCCTAACTAACTATAGGCCTGTCTCAGTCCTATGGGTGCCAACACTGAAATGAGGTGCGTGCACAATCTTACCGACCCGGGTCTGCTTTGCATCCGCTGGTGATTCTGAACAGAACAATGTCTCTTCACTGAGCATGTAATATGATCAGCAATGTATGTTTTGCTCCTCTGTCCTCATTAGCTTCCTGGCAGCAAATCTTCCCCTCTTTGAACAGGATTAGCGTCTTGAACACCATCAGCTTCACTCAATGGGATTTCTGATTACAGAGGACAGTCTCCACAGCTGGATGGCAATGGATTATCCGATCCCTCAGCCTTCTTCTCTCTCTCTCTCTCTCCAGTATGGCTTCTCTTTATTTCTCTTCCTGTTCACTCTCCTTGAGAAAAAACCCACCCCTTATTGAATATAGAAATAGCTATGCAGTCTGAAGCTGTGTTAGAAACAGTGACATCTTGTGGCCAAACTGCATACCGTCAGTCAGGAAGTTCTCTAATTTACTTCACACAGTATTCAAACAATGAGAGCTGTTTCCCATCTTACAGCACTGCTGGGCACTTGTGGGCGGCACTGCTGGGCACTTGTGGGCGGCACTGCTGGGCACTTGTGGGCGGCACTGCTGGGCACTTGTGGGTGGCACTGCTGGGCACCGATCATCAGGGCACTGATCATCAGTGCCCTGATGATCGGTGCCAATCCCTCCTCTGACAACTGCCGGCTCTTGGCAGTACTTTCCTCATGCTGTGACAACGTGAGGAAAGTGCAGCCGATAACCAGCATATGCATTTCCCGGTGATCAGTGTGTCATTGGACACAGCTGATCATGTGGTAAAAGGCCGCTGTGATTGGCCTTTTACCACATCATGTGATCAGCTGTGTCTGTAGGACACAGCGATCATGGGGGGTGTGCAGGAGAGCACGTTCTGGGAGGACGTCATATGATGCCCTCCCAGAACTGGCCGGCTGCAGTGAAGCCATCATTCAGCTATCTGCGGTTGGCAAGTGGTTAATGTGTTTAATATTAGTGGCAGAATGTTTTGTTACACACTAAAAACAGGTACTTTGGTCAAAACAGGGCATAGGGCATCAAACTGCACTATTCAGTCTTTTGATGAGAAAAACAAATATAAAACTTCCCACTCTCATTGAATGTGACATGATCCCCGATGACAGGTCAGAAACACCAACCCCTGAGATTATACAGCATTTCCCTTATTTGAATTCCTTAACAGATACAATTCTTGCAATTGCCCAAATACTCCTCTTGCTATGGAGAGACAGTATCAGGGTGCACAAGGTGCGTGAGCAGATTAACGGACCCCATAACACTTCTTATGCACGACGTTTAGATTTAGGTTGGGTGATAGTTAGAGAAGTTTGCTTAGGTGGGGCTTACATATCAGCAGACGTGAACCCATTTAAAACAAGCGTACTGTGTAATGGTGTCCTTTTCTATTCAGCATATGCGCCAGCTATAGTAAAATAGACCTTTGATGCTTGTGAACTACATCCATTTAGGAGCCACAGCTTATAACGTGGACAATTAGGTGACAATACATTCACTAGAACTCCAAATCATGAAAGACCTGCTATGTCCATTGAAGATCATATACCTTTATGTAGTTGAAAAGGAGATTTTGTGTACGGAGAAAACCATTGGGTAGTGCTCCTACCATTTTGCTCACCATGCCCTAGACTACCAAAAACAGGGAGCAAGATCAGAAGAGAATCCTTGTTTTACAGTGCTCCTTTGCAAGAAAACCTGAAATGAAAGAACATTTTTTTAACTTTATGCAAAACATCTTTGACCATGTCCAAGCAAAACATTCCCCACCACTGAAATTGGGTGAAGAGGGTTGGTACCTACTAATCTTTATCACCCTCAAAAATCATTATGACAGCAGCTCATTGAATGATGTACTTCTTAGAGGCCCTGGTTTGAATAATACACAGCTAGGTGTCTTTATACAAAGAGCAAGTTGCATTTACTACTGATATTTTGTGGTTAGATAACATGACCACAACTACTTGAGGTTCCTTTGGTTTCATATTTAATGACCTCAACAAAGAAATTATAGAAAGAAAAATTCCAGATGGCAGCAGTTCAATAGATCTACTTTATTGATGTAAAATCAGACAGTGAGGGAACAAGAGCAAAGTTTACATGTTTAGCACATTAGTGCTTACTCATAACCTCATCTCACCGATGTCTAACCCTAGGTTCACACCTAAGCGTTTTCCGCAGCATTTTGCAGTTTGCAGAAATGCACTACAGTCCATATAACATGATTTCCTATGGGACAGGTTCATATCTCCGCGTTCTCACCCGGTGCCTTGCGTTTTTGGTTCTATAGACTTCAATGGAAACATTACAGAAAAGCATGTAGTGCATTTTTGATGCGTTTTCAATTTAAAATCTTCCGAGCAAAAAGAAATAAACGCGCAAAATGCATCAAAACGTGGCAAAACCGTGTCAAAACACATGTGCAAAATGCAAAACGCACTGCAAAAACATATCAAAAGCAAACTGCATAGCTGTGAACCTAGCCTAAGCAAACATATATATCACACTAACAGCTGTTGATGATTTAGTCAGAACCAGCCCACTTTCTGGGAAGTCTGTGTACAGCTCAATAGAAAATCTGGCTCAGACCTCCCATGTTCAAAATCTCATCGATATACATAATTTTAAAACTTTGAAAAACATTCAATATGACATCTTCACCAAATATAATAAATATACAAAAAATTTAATATCTTGTACGAAAATGTTAAAACCATGGGTATGTCTATTGTAACTGCACATAATGACTATCCCACTAGGAGACAACTTAGAACAGATCAGTAAATCAGGGAATGAAGAACAAAAAGTGGCCAAAAGGAAAAAGAAGAAAACCCGGGGGGGGGGGGGGGGGGCAGAAAGAGAGAGCAAGATGAAAGTGAAAGACACAGCTACCCTTAAGGAGAACACAACCAAAACCTTACATAATGTTTTGAAATGATCACAAAGAGCACTTTCTTTGTCAGTGATGTGTCTTTGCTATCTAAAGGCTTACATTTTTGTCCAGTCCATCACTTTAACATTAGATCTCAACAAATGTGCACGCTTACTTACACTTCACAAACATTACTTTGATGGTTCGAGTCATCCTGGACTCTAGAGATGAGGGTGTTGTAGAGAGTTGTTGGACCAGTGTAACCTCTGTGAATTGACAGAATTAGCGAATCATTGCCAGTAGAGGCGGAAGGTCAGGTCTCTCAGGCTCTAGTTCCATTCAGATGTCGTTATGACTTCTACCATACAGTCTCGAGGCAAAGAGATAGAACATTTCCAGAAAATGGTTGAATTAGAATTAACAAGATTAGCCTGACGTACTGTGTTTGGTGGTGGAGTTGTGAGAGACAATCTGAGTGTGGAGGAAAGATGCTCATAAAAGGACCTTAGTGAAGACAACTCTATTGTAATTTAAAAAATTATGACAAAGGGGGCATGATTGTAGTCCAAGATGTGGATAGTTATAAACAGGAAGCATTTAGGCAGCTCTTAGATGACACGGTGTATATGAGGTTGAATAAAGATCCTACTATTGAGTACAAATCTACCCTATTGGAAATTGGGGGTCCTTACAATACAAGATAGTGAAGCACTCATTCCCAAGGCCCCTATTGTCCCTGTTTTTTTTTTTCCTTTGCCCAAAACCCACAAGGGGTGAAATCCCCTTGTGGGTAGGCCCATTGTTGCAGGAATAGGGGCCCCTGAATGAACGATCGGGACAATGGATAGATTATCAATTACAACCGTTGATCATGAATTTAACTAGTTAACTGCGTGACACTCAACATCTACTGAATCTGTGCCAGGAGTTTGACTGGATAGAGGGGTATGTGTGGATGGCATGTGGTGTGTCTAGCTTGTATTCCTCCATGCCTCACTCTCTGGGATTGAGAGTGGTTTCATACTATCTGGAGGTGTGCAGGAAGGTTTCAGAGATACAAAAATAAATTCATTCTTGAGTATCTCCTTGCACACAATTACTTTGCCTTTGATGGGGATTTTTATTTGCAGAGATGTGAGGCAACAATGGGCGCTCTATTGTCAGCCAGAGGAACTGTCGGCTGCATTTTTGGGTTCCTCAGTGGGACAAGAAAGCCCAAGAAAACCTTGGAAGTTGGCGGGGTGGGGGTCCTTTTCCCGCTGCTTTTAAAAGCAATCCAGTAGTTAGTTAGTGGCTAGGATTATTTTTACATGAAAGCTGCCTGCCAGCTGAAAAAAACAATACAGGATGATGCCTGTAGCTGTAGGCATCATCCAGGTATAACCACTCAAAGTCCACCGACGTACCAGTTCATTGCTGGTCCATGTTGGGCATATATGTAACAGCAGAGAACATGGGCTTATGATGAATCAGGTCTGTGAACCAATATGAAATAATTCTTTTTTGTAATGCCCATGTTGAGGTTAGGCCCAAAAAACTTTACATTCAGAAGCTGTGGTAGGTTTCCATGCAAATAGTCTGGCAAGAGCTAACATTGGGTGGGTGGCCATGTATTGTTGTGCATATAAATTGCTTTGGACCACAATCAGTTTGGCTAAACTCTAGTGCTGACATCAAACGGGGATGATCCTACTAACACTGCATTTTTGGGGACACTATACAAAGGAGGCACTAGTATAGTTCTGTTCGTGATTAATATATTGATTTGTACAAACACTATACTAGTAATGGCGGTGATCAGCGATCTATAGTGCGATAGTGTGCGCGCAATCTAACGCTAGCTGACCCTGGCTGGGAGTTTACAGACCCTGACACTTTCTGATGTCACTAGTGGCAGTAATACAGTGATCAGTAAAAAATTCTATGTACTGTGTTCATCAGTGGTGTACCCCAAGGTTCAGTGTTGGGACCCTTACTTTTTAATATATTTATAAATGATATAGGGTCTGGGATTATAAATACCATTTCAGTCTTTGCAGATGACACCAAGCTGTGCAGTGGAATAACGTCTTTACAGGATGTCTTCAATTTACAAGCCGACCTCAATGCACTGTGTAATTGGGCAACTATGTGGCAAATGAGGTTTAATGTTGATAAATGTAAGGTTATGCACTTGGGGCTAAGAATATGCATGCAACATACATACTAGGGGGGTACAACTGGGGGAATCAATGGTGGAGAAGGATCTGGGAGTTTTGGTAGATCACAAGCTTAATAATGGCATGCAATGCCAAGCTGCGGTTTCTAAAGCGAGCAAAATCATCTCTTGTATTAAAAGAGGTATAGACTCCAGAGAGAGAGATATCATATTACCCCTGTACAAATCATTAGTAAGACCTCATCTGAAATTTGCAGTTCAGTTTTGGGAACCAATTCACAAAAAGAACATTGGGGAACTGGAGAAAGTGCAGAGAAGGGCAACTAAACTGATACGAGTCATGGAGGAGATCAGCTATGAGGAAAGATTAAAGGAACTTAATTTATTCCCTCTTGAGAAGAGGAAAAGGGGAGATATGATCAACATGTATAAATACATCAGTTCAGTTAGGCACACATTAGTTCATACAGTGAATTCGGTGTAGAGCTATTCACCCTGAGGTTATCACAGAGGAAAAGGGGGCATTCTTTACGTCTGGAGGAAAAGAAATGTAATCTCCAAACACGGAAAGGTTTCTTCACAGTGAGAGCTGTGAAAATGTGGAATAGACTCCCTCAAGAATTGGTTCTGGACAGCTCAGTGGATTGCTTCAAAAAGGGTCTGGATTCTTTCTTAGATACACAGAATATAACTGGATACTAACATTTATAGGTAAAGTTGATTCAGGACTTTTGTCTTTGTTCAGCTAGACTAACTATGTAACTATGTATTGACACTGTA